ATATATATATATATATATATATATATATTAATTTCCTAAAATAAAATAAACTAATCTTGACCATTGATCAAGAAAATGGATGGATGAGATTAATTTACCCGTTTCACTACTCTTGGTTCAATTACGCCATGAACCAGTTTCACCTTCATGAAACCTATTTCATGTACATTAATTTTCTTATTTCACCCGTGATTTAATGAATTCATTCATTTAAGCCTTACAATTTTCAAGATTCTGGAGCAGATTACAATCTTCAAGATTCTGTAACAGATTCATCATGTATCCATTTTATTATGCAATTATTTCATGACGAACCAAATACATTATGCACATGTTTCATTTTCCACTTCACCTACTAAATGGATCAACTACACCATCAATGAAACGGATTCACCATGAAAATGTTTCACTACTCATTGTTCAATTATGACATGAACCAGTGAAACTTGTTTCATTTGTATTAATTTCTTTTTTCAATCACGATTTGATGAATTCATTACATTATGCCTTACAATCTTCAAGATTCACCAGTAGATTCAATCGCATCACAATATATTTAGTTCAAATTTTTAAAATTATAATATAATTAAATATTTAAATGTTACCATTTATAAAATTTTCTTTATCACGTTTCTTTAATTAAGATTTGTTCATAATTTCCATATTTAATTGAAAATATTGTAAATGACCGAAATATCCTTATTTATTAATTTAATTAGAAAAAAATAGAATTTTCCTATTGATCGAAATTAGTTTACACAGTTTTTTAGAAATGCACGATTTTCATTTGAACGTACCCCTATATATATATATATATATATATATATATATATATAAAACACTTTCTAATTTTAAATAAAAATATTTTGTCTCCAAATTCCTCGTCCTATTCATGTCCATCAATCACGTGAAGACACATCATCTACACATGTCTCTAGCATATTCCAATCAGATAGAGAATATATGTTCCCCTATTCCTTTCGAAAACTAACGACTTGGCACCAACATGAATCACGCCAAAATGAACTATACCATTTGATTCCTATATCAGCCAAAAATTGTACTCAGAAGACGGTTGAGTCCCCCTGTTTTTTGTTCTGTTCTCAAGTCTCTAAACTTATGATGAAGTCTCATTTCTGTAGTAGACCAATTCATTAATATACAAAACCATGAAGCTCAATTACATTCCAAGACTAAAACTTCATGTCAAATATATCCTTAGAGTTTGTGTTCATCTTACCCTCTCCAAACCGAAACCGTACTTTGTCTTGAATTCACTAGGTTTGTTCAGTTTAATAAAACTTCCATTTCTGCCTGCTTTTTGTATGTTTCGCAACTTATTCTCGAGGTCACCAGGATTACGACTTTTCTAATTCTCGAGTTCCAAGATTTTCCCTTCAAGGAACACCTCTGTTAACCGGCATTGGTGATGCTAGTAGCGGCAGGTGGAGGTGATGGTTAAATTGAATGTAAAGGTTATCTTTTGTCTTTTTAAAACCAAATTATGATAATTCGGCAGCATCCAATTAATTCAATCCGTGAACCAAACATCAAGTAATTTGTCATTCCAATTCCATCAGATCCTGCAAACCAAACAGCCCCTGATAGTTAACCTCATAGCCAAATCCCCCAACTCAGAACGAGCATGAGCACTTGGAGGAAATACAATCCTTTACGTCACACATGTCGACGACATCTATCCGTTCATAGGAAACTCAAACGAGGTACCAAAACTTGAAATACAAACTTCTGATCCTCCAAGGGCAACAATTCTGCAAACAATCTTATTGTAACATCCAATCCCCATTACAACTCTCAACCTTAACTCCTTAAATAACCCACAGAAAGATCTACATCAAAATTGTGATATAAAGTTCATGGTAACATAAACCATTAATGAACATTCAGAACAATGTATGCATTGTCTTCAACAACCAGAATCAACATCTTCTGCCTCTCCTTCCAACCAAACATTCTTCCATCTTAAATTTACCTGAAATAAAAATATAATATGCTCCGTTAAACTAAATACAGTCATGTGAAATCTATCAAAGTGTTCATAAAAACAATATGCGAAAACTGTGACAAAATGACCAAAACGAATTATGGTAAACAGCCGATAATACCCTCTCCACATGTCGGGTATGACTAGATGTGAAGATATCAAAGAGTTGATCCACGTTACATGATTGATGATCTACAGAGGGATTTGACCAAACCCAGTTTCTGTTTTCAGCAAAGGAACTGTGGACCTATGTATGATCCGAGATCAAGAATGTAAGTTCTATCTTCATTTATCAGATAGCGGTCGAGGTTATGGTTGCCAACCTTAGACTATATTATACGTTGTCAATAAAGAACCATCTCCAACTACCTTTTACTAGCTTTTGAAACTTTGAATCCTATCGCTTATGTTTGTGGTACCACCTGAAACAAGTCCCAAGGCCCTAGATGATACCTCTGGACACCATTTCGAAACACTCACTTATTGAAGCTGGCATACTAGTCCTCCAATTCAGAACCAGATAACAACACACCACTGACCAATACCCATCTTAAGTAAGGTGATTCCACTATCTTTTCTTATGTTTTCATCGTGCTGTGTTCACCATATGTTAGTCTTCATGCCTTCTACCTATTTGCAAACACTCTTGCATAGGCCGGGAGTCTTCACCGAAAGGTCAGGTCTACTTTCCAGACATTAAATAGGCCACGGAACTACCTTTTTCCAGTTATATGTCAACAATACCTATGCAAGGTTTTTTTTTTTAAAGTATATTTTCTTATAGCAAAGTAAGATGACCATAATACCCCTCATCTCAACGCTTTTATCTTCTTCACCCTGAAGTGAGACAAAAGAATTGGAATAAATTCCAACAAAATAAAAAATCAAGGGATTGGAGTAGAGTCAAATTTGGAAAAAAAAATATCAAAAGCTTAGTATACCCAAAACAGAACTATCGAGTCATGAGTTGGTTCCAACTATATGAGCCATTAGAACCAGCATTTTAGCCAATATATCGACCCTTTAGGGTTATGTTGACAAATGACTTGAGTACTCCATGCCTAAATGGAGCCCTGACAAAAAGACATCAAGTTCTCATTAGATTTGGAGAACTAGTCTTGAGGAACAGCAAAATGGCATCTATTGAAGATTCAAGATGACTTTTATTTTATCTATTTTTGTTGAAATCTCAAAGTTTGTTATGTGCTGGCATGCATTGCAGTAGCTCCAGTCTGGCCGTCAACTTGATGCGGGAGAGGAAGGAGTGCAGTTTGATCTTGAAAGCGAGTTAAGTGGCTCTGAGTCTGAGGGGCACTAACAGTATAACAATAATTGTTTAATGTCATAGAGTTTGATCATCCAATCTAAAGCCCCCATCAGGCTGCCTAAAGATCTATTTACTTGTAACACACTTGTATCTTAGAAATTATTCTTCAAGCATTTCATGAATATCCTGAAACCATTCAGTTTTTGAGTCTCAGTATCTTTGAAATTGTATGTTAGATTCAATTGATATCTGATCAGATTGCAACCAAATTACCGGGTATTGCAAGAACTTTTCTTGAATGCTTGCATTTTATGGTCTATTGCAAGAAAATATGCAACAGCGCTATGAAGTTTGTAATTCCGTGGGTTTTGCTGGAATCAATTCAGTGTTCAAGAACAATTTAGTGTTCTTTAGACTTCTATTTTTCTTTTCTATAGAAACCTCTAATTCTTAAAAAAAAACAAGGCCAAGACACCCAAACACAATTTTTGGCTGGATAATTCATTTTTGACCATAAATGATGTATTTTCACCTATAACTCGATTCTATGGCCAGAGGAAAAAAGAATAAGATAGTTCTGTGGTCAATTTCATCAAACCAGAAAGTGGCATGGCCTGAAAGCGTATAATCCTACAAAATAATACACAACCAAAAAATTGCGTTTAAACAACACAAAAGTGATCTCAACTTTCACTTGGTTAAATTATCTTAATAGCATTGTTGTCCACAAGATTAGTGATAGACCAAATCTAGTAAAACAGAAGTGAACAAAAAAGCAAACAAAATTAGTTGTACCCAACCATTGTAACCAAAGCAGGAAGTAAGTTCAACTTGCAAAACCCAGGCCCGTCACAGAAATATTCAAGTTGTTTTAACATCTAATCACAATAATTCATATGAAAGAGATCAAACCTGACAAAATGAAATATCTTGGATTACAGCAACATCTCTGCAATCTGGACAGCATTTAGAGCAGCCCCCTTGCGTATTTGGTCCCCACAAACAAAGATATCCAATCTGTATTAAAACAATAGACCATTAAAAGTGTTGAATACATATATTCAAATGCATGAGTGAACCATGTGTTGAAGAGTTACAAACCCATAATTTCCATCTTGAGACTCATCCCGACGGATTCTGCCTACTGCGACATCATCTTTGTTTGAAACTTCCAAAGGAGTGGGGAAGTGATTGCTAGCTCGATCATCAATAACAACCACACCAGGAGCTTTCTTCAAAATCTCCCTCGCTTCATCCTAGATATAAAACACAAGAGTAACTCAAAAATTGACCATCTGGAGAACAATATCCATACACATTGCATTTGTCTCATGCAACCCTCTTGCCCACTTTCCAAATACAAGGAAAAAAAACAACAGATTTTGACTACACCAAGAAAGGTAACCAAATAAAATTACAATGTTTAACATATATAAGTATGTAATTGGTTAAAGCATCAGTCCAATACTAAAATACCTTTTTGTACAAAGTATATAAAGTTACACATTATGTTACTTATAAAGAAATAGTGTCTTTAACAGAGGTGTTTCACAGAAGTAAATAGGTATTAACCAGGCTGATATCCTATAACTTCACATAATTAAGCTGAACAATTCTTAAGGGCTCTAATTTTCAAACATTGGTTTCATATTTGAAATAATCTACACCTCTAAATGACTACAAGAAGCGGGTTAATGGATGCAAATAATTTGACAAGGTGCATCACCTTGAGATATTCAAAAGGGGGAAATTCGACATGCTATACAATTAAAAATGCTACCCTAATGGTCCAAAGAGTAACAGCCTGATACAGTGAACATAGTTTTTTTAATGAATAACCAGGATAATTGGCACCTTTGATCAAGGTCTACGCATAGCACCCCACACATAAACCAAGAAAACTTAAGACCTTCCAGTTAGTGTGGCACCTGAAGTTGATAGCACCTGTGGTTCCAAACTAAGACCTCTTAGACCAAGGTCCCAAGCCTTACCCACTAGGTCAATCCCTCCGGTTGATACATACCAATACTAAATTTACTATTACGAGAAAATTCCAGTGAACCGCAGAAGATGCGTATTCAACTTTAGAAATATTGCATTTCCAGTAACCCTTCAGCCTGTACTTGCAGAAAAGAATTTTCTTTTTAAGCTCCATTGTTGTGGCTTGGTCTGACCAGCTGAGGCCAAGCAATTACCTACTATTGCTGCTAGCTCTTTAGTTTCTTTTAGTGGTTTAACTGCTCATCTTACTCTATAAAGTTAAGGCAAAGATACATAAGAATCTCAATAATCTTCAACAGCTTATCAGTAAAAGATGGTCATTACAGGAAGCTGTTGGAGAAAACCAATTTCAATGTGAAGCAAGCCAACCTACATAACAGTTCGATGTTTTTATGAAAGTCGCATGACTGTCAAACACGCTCTTGTGAAAAGAATCAGTGTTGTCATACAATATAAGGAGATAGGTGAGATTGCAAAACGTTTCACATTATCCGACAATATATCAGCCATAAAAATGGACATATTTTCTAAGAGAACTCCTCATGAAAATTGTTACTGTCGAGAAAAAATAACCAGATACAGTGCATGCATTTAATTCTAACTGTAAAGACAGTAACATCAGAGTGTTTTATAAGAGTACCTCATCAAGGGGGCTTGCAAATTGTAAGTTCACACTCTCCGCATGTGCCCGCATGACAGGAACTCGTATACACGTTGCAGTCACTTTGATATCCTTGTCGTTCTATGGTGTAAATCAAAGGTCCATATTGCACCCGCTTAGCCTTTTTCAGCAAAAGAACCAAAACAGTGACATGCTTCCAGGATATCAAAAACAACACTTACCCAGATTTTCCTTGTCTCTTTCACTAATTTCATTTCTTCCTCGTTATATCCATTTGGAAGGACTGGTGCATTATGAGAGAATAGATTGAAAGCATACTGCATTTGGAGCACAAAATTGAATTCAGTGACCAGTTTTAACCAATATGTATTCCTAACATAGTTCACCCTGGCGTTTTAACAAGAAGTAAAACAGATAAAACCTGCTGTTTGAAGATTTTACAAGTCGGTCGTTTCCCTTCAAGCACCTTCATTTATAAAAAGAGAAACCAAATTTAACAAACTCGATAAACACCAAAAATACAAACTAGATTGTTTAAGTAATTTTCAAAACCTCACGGGTCTGCAGTTCAAGCTCTTCCATGGCCGCAGCACCAGCCCCACTAGCTGCCTGGTATGTGCTGACCACCATACGCAATACCTACAAATTATCGTTTATCATGAAAAATCAATGCGAATTGATTCAAATGGCTACCATTGGTTTGCAAACAAGTGGAATTTCTCACCTTTGCCCGTCGATGAAGAGGAGTGGCGGCCATCAAACATATGATGGTAGAACAATTAGGGTTCGCAATCAATGCCCCTTTACCTGACCCGATCCTAATATGCGACATTGCATCCGGGTTGACTTCAGGGATCACCAGCGGCACGCTGTCATCCATACGAAAAGCAGAGCTATTATCCACAACAACGGATCCACAATTCGTAGCAATAGGTCCGAATTCCTTACTAATGGAACCACCGGCGCTGAATAAGGCAATGTCAACGTCCTTGAAGCTGTCAGCAGTTAACTCCTCGACGACATATTCATTGTCTTCGAAGGTGTATTTCTTTCCAGCGGAGCGTTTGCTAGCGAGCATCTTTATGGACCGATAAGGAAAATTTCTGTCGGAGAGGACGGATAAAAATTCCTGACCGACAGCACCTGTAACGCCGACGACAGCAAGGGATGGGGCGTCCTCTCGTAGTGACATACGAACTGAAAAAGGGCTGGCGATAGAAGGAGTAGGTTTGAGACGGAAGAGGGGGAATGTGGTGGCAGCGGCGTCGCCATTGAGGAAGCGGCGGTGAGCGATCGCCGGAGACTGCATGTTTACCAAAAGAATGATCGGAGAAATGTAGAGACGAACTTCTAACGGAATAAGAGAAAGAGGCGGCTAAACGCTGATAGGGTTGAAGGCTTTGGACTGAAAGTAGGTGGAAATTATACTTTGAGTCCCAAGTTATTAGATAAATACATTTCAGCCCTTCACTTTTTGAGTATATAATCTCAGATCCTTAATTGCCATTTATTAGAATTTATATTAGGAAAAGTTGCCTTTAACAACATGAGAACAATATAATCATGTGATTTGGAGAATTCATTATTGACTTATAATGTCTTGGTATTTGGGTATAACGGATTGTCTTACAATGATTTACTGCAGAATTATAAGTGGTCAAAATAATTAAGAGACTCTCATGACATATTACAAAATAAAATATAATTGTTGCATACTATATCATTTTAATATATTACAATCTTACCCGATAAAGTAAATTATAATATTGACTTTTACCGATAAACGCTTACCAAGTAAGCACTTATGGAATATAGACTTCTTACTATTGAGAGTAGAATCAAACTTTTAATAAATTGCCCATTATATATACCTACGTAATGAAAGCTATTCATAGAAAGCGGTTACAAGTAAAAATATACATTAGGACATTAAGCATTGAAGGATAAATTAAACAACAAAATTCACAAACTCAATTTAAGGTAATCAGAGGTCAAGGGTTTGAACACGTGACTGGCACGTGTCTCCATATAGTGCAAAAGCTTCGTCGGCAAATGCATGTAGACAACCCAATCGTTGTCGTTGATCGGACTTCCCATCGTCATGACGTAACAGTCGGTCCTGGCCGATGGCACATGGCATGAACAGAACGCCAGCTTCCCCCATCCAAAATCCATCTTACCCATGATCGAAAGCCTCTGTCCTGATGATACCATGATGGCAAACTCCCTCTCCGTTCTGGCAAACGGCCTTGACATCAATGCTTTTGGTCGTTGATCCTCCACCCAATCTATCAACTCCAGAAAGTGGTTCTTCGTGGCTGCACTTTTCAAGAAGTCGTGAACCTGGTTTGCCACCACACTCAATGGCATGTCTTTCAAATCCTGTATAAAAATAGTGTTTAGAATCACTATAAACAACATTGATCTTATAGGACTTCAAATACGTCTAAATACCTTTGATCGGATCCCTCCGAATGGGATAGATAAAACGTTACCGAAGTGTGTAGCCATTAGTGTTTGTTTCTCGACCCCTTCTCCCTCGCTTAACCTTTGCCTTCCATCGACAGCAACTGCGATCTTGCACATATGGTCAAGATGGCCCGATTCCTCCAAGAACGATGCTGTAATCTTCCATAAGAACGAGGTAAACGACTCTAGTTTCGACCTTTGGCATCCATTTTCGCTGGCCAAAAACTGGAGTCTCTTAAGCTCCTCACCCTCCATATAGTAGATACGACTTATAAGATGCGAGTCGAATTGATCTGGTTCTGGTGATTCACTTTTGGGATGGGTTTGAAGTAACGGTGGGAGATCAGAAAGGGGAAGAAACAGGTTGGCGACTGAAGTTGAATAGAGGGTTGGGCGCCTAGGGTTGAGGACCGAACGTCGAAAGGAGGGCAAGGAAGTTGGTCGGACGGATCGATTCATATCTGCCCAGGATGAGACGAACATGCTGGCCGAATACCCGTCTGCTGCTCGATGATCAAACATGCATGCGATCACCATTCCCCCACATTTCAAAGTTGTGATCTGCAACATGATCAAATTTAAGATTATACAGACCTACAAATTTTTTCAAGCGTCTATACGAGGTTTTATATTTATTGCAATTTTTTTAGAAACATAATAAATCTGAAATTCAAAGCTAATAACTAAGAAAATGACATTAACCGAACTCGGGTTTTGGTCGAAGAAAAGCCTTGCAAACCAACTCTACCAAAAAAATCTCAAATTAAAAGCTAAAAACTAATAATATTAATATGGTGACACTTTTCACGACCCTATAATTTTTACATGAAAATTTGTCTATAAAGATAAATGTTTTTCCTCTAAAAAAACAATTGTATCATGAAAAGAAGCGTTAATATGATTATTATTATTTTTTGATTAATCTGGATATCCAACCCGTTATGCAAACCGACTAATCTCAAGACGACCACCTGCCTTGCAGATAGCCCGGAGTCACCGCAATTGAACCTCCGTAGCCACAAGGGGATTTTTATTCCTCCTTGGATTTGAACCTGGTACCTCCTGGTACTTTTGACCTTTGGAGCCAAACTCAAACCAATCAGACAAAACCCTTATGGTCAATATGATAATTTCTTAAAAGTATCTTATAAAAAAAGTAATGACACTTTATCTTAAAATTGTCATAAAAAAAACTTTTAGCACGTCCAAAAACATCAAATCGACTTACTATAAACACTTTAACATGTATGCACAATATCTGGTATTTTAAACTAAAGTTTTATAAAATATACCAAGAAATTTAGACATATTTGACATAATCGATTAATTACTATATACATCAAATTAACACATTAATTTAAGTTAAACCTGAATGGCAAGCACCCCACGGTGCCTGGGGGGCATTAGTTTTCCATCTATGCTCTCATTAGGATCGTAAACGTTGAGGTCCCGGAGGTCGACATCGGCCGCAGCTTGGATAAAGTCGACACCTCGATTGTTGCAATGAATCTCAGGCTCACCGGCGGCATTGTGGACGATCTCTCCGGCAAGTGGATAGAATAGTACGAGTGTTTGAGATAAAGAAGTCTTGAGAGCATCTACCATGTCCATGGTGGTCACACCATCATCATCATCTTTGGATTTCTTGTAACAGAAGAAAGAACCCACGTCAAAGGGTGGCACCAGCAAATCTAGGTTCGTAAAGGGTAGCCAGTGGTCATGCCACGGTTGGTCTGCTGCCACTACTTCTGTCTTTATCACCTTCACTGAGAAACCTTCACTGTTAACACTACCCATCTCGGAGATATGTAGAAATATTATAAGATGTGTGTGTGTGTATATATATACATATATTTCGTTAGATAAGGGTATATATAGAGAGAGAGGAGATTGGGAAGAACCTGAAAAAATAAAGAAGCAAGTTCATGGTATTAAAATGGTGGTTATAACCACGTTTTTTATTAAAAAAAAGAATAAATATTTCCTCCTAATTTTAAATTGAAAATTAGGGAAAACAACAAAAATTGGAGCTAAACAAATTACACCAAAAAAATATTGTATCTTTAATTTGACATCCATTTTAATATATTTTTTAATTTGTTTTTTTCTTAGTCATCTGGTTTCGTTATTTTTTCCAGAGTTCTCCCAAGGTTTTTTCCATATATATATATAGAGAGAGAGAAAGAGAGGGAAGGAGGGAGGGTAGATCAAGAAGAAGACGATCAAATTGTGAGAAGTTCTAAGATCATGTATATGTAATCATATGTGATACAAACATATTGCGTTAACTGACTATACAGTGGGTGATCTTTCCCTCGACCCTTGCAGTCGCGTTGACCAAGTCGCTCACGCCCTTTTAGACATCTTGTATCACATATGATCTTTAAATTTCTCGACTTCTCATAAATCGACTTCTTAAAAATTGACCACTTCCCTTTTGTCTCTCTCTCTCTCTCTATAAAGAGAGAGAATATGGCCTTGTTTGTTTTTATAAGAAAAACATTTATCAGTCTCTTATGTTTGATCCATTAAGATGTAAGACCATTCAGACTGTTTGTTTTTTTCAATTTTTCAGAAGCATTTATGTCTTATTGTTCTCTTATTTGGTAAGAGGTAAACCAACCTCTTATTGTTCTTTAGCTCCTCAACAACAACATTTTTCAATCGAGTGACCTTAATTGATCTTTTCTCTTAATCGATTCTTACCAAATCGATCATCACCTTTCTCAATTAATGTATTTTAATATGATTTAAATGTATTAAACATCATCAATGACATATTTCTGTTTAAATGAATGTTAATTATATAATTTAAATGTAAATTTCGTAATGATGATGCATAAATATGTAAAATAGTATAAATTTATCTATAAATTCAACACCATATAATTTTCTAATAAATAAAATAAATAATTTAAACAAATTCAGACATTTACTAGTTCACAAAAACAAACAGTCTCATTGATTCAGATTTAACCACCACTTCCTATTAATCAAAAGTGAAATAAGAATTCAGACTTTAGGATCTCTTAGAAAACAAATGACATCCATATGTAAATATTGAAAACCTAAAACGTTAAAATTCAATTATAATATAATATGTTTTATATATAAAATATACTAGAAGAGTACTCGCGCAACGCAACGAGACACATCTAGATTTTAATGTTCTATTTTATTATTTATCTCTGTCGATGTTATAATATGATTTTATGTATTTTTAAGAAAGCAATAATTATTTCATTTTTTAATAAAATATAAATTTGAAGATATCATAAAAATTTGCAAAAAAAAATATATCAATGTTAATATCAAATCAATTATTTAAAAGTTCTCTTTTTTATGTAATTTATTTATTTATTTTTATTATAATTCAATTTAAGTTTAACAATAAAATAATTTATTTTTGGTTTAATAATATAAATTTTATAAAGATAATAGTTAAGTATTTTGTTAGAACTCAATGATTATCGTAATTATATTTTAGATTTTTTATATTTAAAATGAGATGTTTATCCTGTATTTGATTATGTTTATCTGCTGTTAGTTACACGAATTTAGATATAAAGCTTTAATAAGTTGTACTTACGCACAATCTACTTACAATTTTGAGTTTTAAGTCATATGCATTAATAAACAGCATTTTATGCAACAAAATATTTTTAAAAGTTTTTGTCAAATATTTTATAATATACTATAAATAATATCTTAAATCCTAACTTTAAATTAAAAAAAAAACAATATTATAAACTTTTTGTGGTTGGCACATGGTTGTGAAGTAAATATATTATTCTTACCACATTTCTGTATTTTACGAATTAAAATAGGTTTAGAAAAAATGGTCAAAATCCCAGCGACATGAAACCATATAGAGACAAAGAACCTTCCTGCCCCAAAATTCTACCCTAATCTTTTTTATTTTCACATTTGTGGAAAGATACTTTTTTGTTTGAGTTCGTCATATTTTAATCCTAATTATTTACAAATACAAGAAAAAAAAAAGGTAACTGATCCAAGGGTCCTTGTCCAAAAGCGGCTAACGTCATGTTTGTAATAATAATTGAAGCTACAACCACTTTGTTTTTGAAGTTGATTACCGGTGAGTTTAACCATACGAAACTTGCTTTTAAGGATACCGGATATAAAAAGGGCAGTTTTTGGCTCATTTGACGGCTGGGGTTAACAAGGGGTTGAGATCATATGCATGACTTGTCTTGTATTTGGACAAAATTCTCCTACTCTTTTAGCCAACTGAGCTACACCTCGGAGGCAATTTTGCCATATATTATATATTGATTTTAATTAGTATTTTCTGAGCTACACATGAGTAAATGATTGAAACATTGGTTAACTAATTAATTATAAAACCTATTTAGATATGAATGGATCCATTATGTATTTGTTTTAAATCACATATGATGATTTGTCGATTAGTTGTTTCTCGAAAAAATAATAAGGTTGGTGGCATGAGGGTTTTTGGCCTAGCGGTATCGTAATTTTTGGTCTATTAGAAGGTCAGAAATTCAAACCTTAACAAAAATGAGAAGGGTATCGAGTTATACGTATAATTAACCTCAACATCAATGGAGGAAAAAAATATGTCTTTCATAGTCCATAAAAAATAGATTCTAGAAATCCCAAGATTTTAAATTCTTCTAAAAAATAAAAAAAATTATATTTCTTTAAACAAAAGCAGGTCGGCTCTCATGTGAACATTAAAGTATCTTTAATAGTTATGATAAAATGGGATAAAAAAATGGATTTTAACATTTTCGTTACTCCAACGATTATGTTATCCTGAAATGAAGATGAGAGAGGTTTTAAAAATTTCTAAATTAAAAGAAATTTCTAAAATAATTCTATAGAAAATAGAGAATTAATATTTTAATTATATCCAACAAATTAAAAATTTAAAGTTAAATTAGGCATAGGAATAAGACTCGCCTCATTGGGGAACCCAATGTACCCCGCCTCGACAGGGACATAAATTCCCGCAAGATTGGGGAATGGGGATGGGGATCCCCGAAAGTTAAAAATTGGGAACGGGGATGGGGGCGGATAATGTAGTCATCGCCCTGTCCCGCCCCGCCCCATCCCATCCCCGAATATTGAATGTTATATATATATATATATATATATTAAATATATTATTTATAGATAACTAGATTTAATATCTTTTAGATTTAGAAAATAGTATTGACATTTATCTTATATACATTTTCTCTGAGTTGTCTCACTTTTTTTAGATAATTAAAGGTGGAAAGTTGAAAACGTTTGATCAAAACAATTACATATGTGATGTGATTCTGTTCATATATAAATATTTGATAATCTATAAAAACAAATTTTGAAAATATATAAGTTTTAAACGTGGACCATTATCGATCGAGTGTGGTATTTTAACACATTTGTTTTAAAATATCTTATATTAACGGAGAGAAAATCCCCGACTCCCGTTCGGGGACGGGGATGGGGATGTGATCATATTCCTCGATAGGATGGAACAGAGATAGGGACGGGGATAAGGATTGGGGTCTCCGTCCCATTCCCATGGCTAAGTTAAATCTATAGGAGAGAGAAATAATATTTTACTACATGTATTGAATATTTTACTAATATGGTTCATGCTATAATTGCTAACATAGAGTAGTTATAATTTTTTTTAGAGATTTTAACTTTTCATACTTTATTATAAAAAAAATATAGCATAGTTGTTAGAGATGCTTTTAGACATAAGTTGCAAACCCATTACCAAACAAAGAGATGATCAGATGTAATTTTTCTAGTCAAATATTTCGATATATTTATAAAATCAGACAAAAAATATTGGAGCTTAAACATATAAACAAATTAATTAATCTTGAGTTTGAATTCATAAAAAAGCTTATAAACCTTGAATTTTACTAATTCATTCAAATTGATACCGGCCAATACTGAATATTATTATTTTTAATTTTAATTATATTTTCAAATAAAAATTTATAAACAGTAAT